AACTGGCTTTGAACAGAACGTCGTGGGGGATGGACCTCAGTAGACTGGTCCGAGCGCCTGGTGGAAAAGAACTTTTCGAACCTTTAAAGCAAAAGTGATCAAATAATGACTGCCAGTGTCTCACTGCCAATTGCCAAAGTCTAACATCTGTCCGATGAACCAACCGTAAGCTTATCACTCTGGTCGTGAAGGTAGTCGCAGCGACAATATGTAACACCAGATCTCACAATTCATGTTGCAAAGTCATCATTTCGTCTTGTTCCTGTCCGAACGTCCGATAAAGTGCAGCAGAAGATAGAGGCCTAGAGTCATGAACCAGGTCGGCCCACCTTCCGAGAGTGTATAGGAAGTAATGGGCCGAAACAATCGTCGATGAGGGATCGGTGGACACTTGCTGTGCATGCTCCCCTGTGGAGTTCTTCTAATTATTACAAACGCACATACAACAGCAATTCAGAAAGTGAAGAACTACAGACAAGCGGGATAAAAGAACTATACGACTATATTATTCAAGAAAAATAAAAGAAGATAAAAAAAAAAAAAAAGAACCGAAAGAAAGAAAGAAAGACGAAAAGAACAAAAGAAAGAGGGAACGACATAAAAAAAAAAAAAAAACTAATGATACACAATTGAACACCAGAATAAAGGAATATAATAATGCATAAAGCCCAGAAAAATTCACAGAAAGGGAGACAAACAGACGCACAGAGATGCAGACTGACCAGAGACACATTTTAGTTTAGGCTGGATAGAAACAAGCTTTGACAGCAGAAGAATAAATAGAAAAGAACAGGAAAAAAAAAAAAAGCAAAATTCTGGATTAGTCAGATGCTCAGAAAAGTGCGTCAAATGAAGATGCATTTGGGGAAAAAGGGGGGGGGGGGAGGGGGGGGGGAGAGATTCTTCCAGCGGCTTTCTTTCTTTCTGTCTTTCTTGCTTTCTTTCATTCTTTCTTTCATTCTTTCTTTCTTTTTCTTTTTTTCTTTCTCTCTTTCTTTTCTTTCTTTTTTCTTTCTTTCTTTCCTTCCTCCATTTCTTTCCTCCATTTCTTTCTTTCTTTCTTTTATTCTTTCTTTCTTTCTTTCTTTCTTTCTTTCTTTCTTTCATTCATTCTTTCTTTCTTTCTTTCTTTCTTTCTTTCTTTCTTTCTTTCTTTCTTTCTTTCTTTCTTTCTTTCTTTCTTTCTTTCTTTCTTTCTTTCTTTCTTTCTTTCTTTCTTTCTTTCTTTATTTCTATCTTTCATTTTTTCTTTCTTTCATTCTTTCTTTCTTTTTTTCTTTCTTTCTTTCTTTCTTTCTTTCTTTCTTTCTTTCTTTCTTTCTTTCTTTCTTTCTTTCTTTCTTTCTTTCTTTCTTTTTTCTTTCTTTCTTTCTTTCTTTCCTTCTTTTTTTTTCAAGTTTCATTCATTCATTCTTCTCTTTTTTTCTTTCTCTCTTTCCTAATTTTGCTTTCATAATCTTTCTTTCATGATATTTTGTTTGTTTCTTTTTTTTGAGTAAGAGAGAAAACATTTTGATAAACCGTTGGTACCTTTAGCTTACTTTTTTAAATTTAAAAAAAAAAAAAAAAAAAAAACAATTATGTTTTTACCAAACATATTCGACTTTCTCATTAACAGTAATCAATGTATTATTCTTTAGTTTGGTTTTTAATGTTCCCATGCACACCTGGACACTGAGTGGCAAGCTGGCCTTAGCTGAAGCCTCCGCAAGTAGCAGTTTCTCACAACATATATATTTGTAAAATATACTTTCTCTAATAACGGTTTGACATAATTGACATTGATAGCGTCTTATGTTATAATGCCTTTTCAGCTGTTTATTGAGTGAAACCTTCAGAGTCTATCAGAGCAGCGCAGAAAAAGAAAAAAAAAAGCAGAGGTTCTTCATGACTTACATAACTGACATTTATAAATGTTGACACCTGCGAGTCCCCAACAGCTTTCATAAAAAAAGCGTTTTAGAATATTGCTCGTCGATGGCTCTTCTGTTTACATGGCTACTGAAAACACCACAACAGTTTCCTGTCTGCATAATCGTGATATACTATCGTTTCGTCCTTTTTAGGATGAAATGTGTTGTTATTTGAAGCCCAACCCTGGCTTTTGCCAGGGGCCGCAATATAGGCAGGCCATACATATGGCCAATTGTCTGAACGCGTTTTCTGGGACCTCTCCACGGCGATCCTCATCCACATGGTGGCACTTTGTGTCATCGGGTGTTTATCGCTTGTGTGATGTCCTGGTGGGGTAGAAGGTCAGTCAGTCAGTGAGTCCTGTCTGCATCCTAGGTTTGTTTGTTGTTTGTTTTAGTATCCAGAAGCCATGATTTGTTAACCCTTAGGCTCGGTATTATGGATATCGCAACCTTTCGGCCTTAATTCCATTTTAAATACCGCAAATCTGGGAGAAATGTGCCTTTCTGCCCACCCCCGGGAGTGAACCCGGACCACAAGGAGTGCGTCACCCGCTCACCGCGCAATCCGGTTTAGCCAACTACGCTAGAGAGACGGGCCTGCATCTAAGGCCATTATTGAACGTTGAGAACTGGGCAAGGACCAGCATTGAGACATTTCTAACTATGAAGACGAGTGTTGTCTATTTTATTACCGACCGGCCTTGTATTCACAACCATCTGAGGTCACGGGTGAAATTCATCCTCTCAAAACATGGGCATTCATGTAAAGGCCAAGTCTTGCACATGAATCCCGATCCTTCGCCCAGTCTAACTTGTTTAAAGAAAAAATGTGACACCAAAATGTTTGCAGCAAAGCACCCTGCAGAAGCTTCCTTAGAAGAATAATGTCTTTTCCCCTTTACACCCGTGGGACCTAGTCTCCATCACAGTGCACTTCTCTGTTCGAAACCCCTGGCACAAAAAGGAATGTCATGTCTAATTACCCCTATCTAACATTCTATGATAACAGAGCCAATAATACGAACTACTGTTAAACAGTAGCAACGCAATACCAGTGGGTGGGGGCTGCGTGGTCTCAAAGTATGGTGCCTGCATCGAAGGCTAGAGGTTCCGGCTTCGATCCCCGGCAAGGGCTGGGATTTTTTCACGTGGACTTGGATTACTAATAATTCCACCTGGTCTCTGGGTAGTGAGATCGGACGCTCGTGTGCATTGTTACGCACGTAAAAAAATCCCTTGGCAATTGCAAATCTAAAAGAGTAGTCTAACGGCGCTGCCAAGGCAAAAACTTTTATTTAAAACTCTACCCAAAGTATTTCCGGATCCTCGTCGGTGCAGCAGCGCCTATGCACTGGACTAACGAGCACTTATGGGTTACTACCCGTGTGCCATGATGTTGATCCTTTGTTAAACCTCAAACCTCTACCAGTCTAAAACTAAAACATGCGTAAGTCACTGAAACAGTACATTTTATGTCATTATCATAAAAAAATAGTATATCTGATGGTAAAGAATGTAATTTTATGTTATTCCTATAAAGAAATTATAAATTATATAATTGATGGTAAAGAAAAAAAATGTTGTGTCATTCCTATTAAGAAATGATATAACTGGTGGTAAAGAAAAAAATTGTATGTCAGTTCTATAAGGAAATGATATAACTGATGGTAAAGAAGACAATTGTTATGTCATTCCTATAAAGAAATGATATTACTGATGGTAAAGAAGAAAAGTTATGTCATTCCTTTAAAGAAATGATATTACTGATGGTAAAGAAGAAAATTGTATGTCATTCCCATAAAGAAATGATATAACTGGTGGTAAAAAATGAAAATTTTATGTCATTCCTATAAAGAAATGATATAACTGATGGTAAAGAAGAATATTTTATGTCATTCCCATAAAGAAATGATATAACTGGTGGTGAAGAATAAAAATTGTATGTCATTCCTATAATGGTGAAGAATCAACAAGTGCTTTAGATATACCATGGTCTTTTTTAAATGGTTACTAACAGCAGGCTTACATGGAAGTCAAAATTCAGTCAAGAAGCACACAAAGTATGGAACATACTACGAAATTAGTACAAAGATTAGAAGGCTAGTCTACACTAGAGCAGGTGGCTCTATTACCGATTACGCCTCAGTTTCCTAGGCTGAATAAAAAAACAATTGCTATAATGTCACTCCGTTTGCTCGATTACAATGCAAGGAACAGACTCGAGAATTGAGTGACAAATGGCTATGTTTACACACACACACACACACACACAAAAGGTTTCGGTGTCCTTTTATAGGGAGAGAAAAAAAAAGAAAAGACCCATTGTTATCCCAAAAGCATGTCGTAAGAGTCGACTAGTAGACAGCTTCCTTCGAAGTCATAGTACTTCTGCATGAGAGGCAAGGAACCAGCAGTCTGCATACAAATAAGTCACATCTGTAAAACTGATGCATACGCAACGCTCAGGTTCTGGAACAGGAATGCAGTCCAAGAGTGGATGAACAACCAGAACTTTCCGCCAGAGTTTACAGCTGGTGAACGCAAAGAGAAGAAGAAGAGAAATATAACAAGATGCTGATTGTGTAGGATGGCAAATAACGAGTCTATGATTTTTGGCATGGAAAATATTGATGATAATTTTTTTCAAGGAGAGGGCGTGCTGGGCTTTTTTTCTTCCCACTGAAACAAGGGGCCGTGGGACAAACAAGTTTGGGAAACACTGGTCTATACAGACATAGGTCTAAGTTAAGCACCGTATGCGTGATAAGCTAAAGCTGGAAATGGTTTTACTTTTAACTGTGAGAAAAAAACACACACAGACACAAAAACAACACTATAGCCTTGATTCTCAGATCCCCTCAGGTTTATAAATGGGTACCAGTCAAAGCCCTAGAAAGTAAAGTGGTCCGGTGTAATGTTGACACATTATCCATGGATTGGCCTATACAAATTTGAGTGCAGCCTTATATGCCCAATGCGCCTCCGGCGTGTAAAAGGAGATTTTACTTCTTGATGGACACAAAAGTAACAGATCGTTTATATGCAATTTTTTTAAACTCATTTATATGATTATTCACTTTCTAGATATCAAAAATGGAAACCTAAAGTCAATACTAGACCTCTTCTTTAGCCTGTCTCGATACAAACAAGAACAAAAGGTCTTACAGCCACCACAACAATCACGTAAGCATCACAAAGGCTACAAGCTACCAGGTGACCCTCATCATCAGCTGAAACAACAACAACAACAACAACAACAACAGAGTCAGGAATCAATCTGTACGTCACCTGCAACATCTCCATCTGAGACTAGCATTCATGTCATCGATAACTACGACCTTGAAGATTCATCAAACGATGGAATCGGGATCAGCTATGAAGACACAGTGACAAGGTAATGCTTTACTTCCTCTTTACGTTTCTATATTTATACTTGTTTATAAATATTTGCTTCTTTTAAACCATGGAGGCTTCAAGCGTGGGTTAAGAGGTCGCAAAACAGGTTACTAAATCGAATGTGTTGAGCAAAAAGGCACAGCTATTATGGCTTCGCTATCCACAACAACCTAACGTGCCAGCCGCCTCTTAATGATGTACAGCAGAAAAATAATAATAATAATAATAATAATAATAATAATAATAATAATAATAATAATAATAATAATAATAATAATAATAATAATAATAATAATAATAATAAGATAAAGAAAAAGGAAATATTGATGACGATGATGTTGATGCTGATGATGATGATGATAATGATGATGATAATGATTATGATGATGAGCAGGAGGAGGATACCCAAAACAGGCCTAGATTAGGCAATGGTGAAAGAAGCTGTTTATGTTGATGATGCTGGGGAGAACAAGAGAATTAGGAGATGGGAGACGGAGTATGAACATAAAAAAAAAAAAAGAAACTTATTATTTGAGACCGTTGCTTTCGAAACAAATGTAAAGGGTGAGGCAAAGAGGGGTGGGCAACCATAGGGAATTACTAAAAGTCCATGTGAAAAAATCCTAGCCCTTACCGAAAATAGAACCCGGCACATCTAACACTCGAGGCAAACACCATGCCTCGAGACCACGCAGCGCCGTAGTACTGACAGTACGTTTTATACATTCTAGCGTTGGCGACCTTGATTCTCTTTAGTCATCCGTGAGAAGAAAGTCTCCCATGCACTGATACATTCCCAGTAAACACAAGTTTTGTTAGCAACCGATGTCAAAGCACTTTAAACATTGCGCTTAGCGCTTCGTCCCCATCTTCAGCAGACAGTAGACATCTAGTTCCAATGATTCTAGTAGCTATCTGATTTCATATCCGTCTTGCCTTTGCTCTACATGTACAGTGGCATACCAGTCACCATAGTCACTCCCCCAGCAAGTTTCTCTCCAAATCGCGATAATCTATTTGCCGCCCCGCACTGTTCAGAAATATCATCTAGAATCGCACTGGCATCTAGTGCCTTTCACAAACTGTCAAACATCTAGATGTTAAAGACACTCAGCAATCACATAAAACTTAGGATTTTCAACTCTTGTGTGGTTGTTAACATATAGATGCGAGAGTTTGAAAGCAACTATAGTTCTAGATGACAAGACACACAAAAATTGACAGTTTTGAGAACAAATGTCTTAAAAGAAAACTAAATATCTGCTGGACAAATTTCCAATCCAATAGGCAGATAAGACAAGAGACCAAGCAAGAATATGCATCTAGTTTTAAAGCACCGCTGGAACCACATCGGCCAAGCACTCAGAATGGAAAAGACCAGATTTCCCCATAAAACCCTCAATTTGACACTGGAAGGAACGAACGAACGAACGAACGAACGAACAAACTTTATTTTCAAAGGGTTAAGAATTGGGTACACAGACCCGACTTACATTCTGCCCTTCTGGCCTCACGCCATGCATACATTGTTTATGCACACATTGTTTTGGAAGATAGTTATATTAATAATAATAATAATAATGATAACAAGCATCATCAATAACATCTTTGTAACAATTTACTCTAAGTATGCCTACATTTTAAAACAATTATAATACTAAATATAATAAATCTTGGTGGAAATCAACATCATTCTTAGGAAACTTTATCTTCTAAGGGGACATGTAGTGTGAAGTAAGATAATATTCAAAAAGCTTCCAATTGTATTTGTAGGGGTTGTTGATATTTTTTATTGGAAGTTTGTTTGAGCTGCAGAGTACGCCAAGCTTGTTTTGTTCAAGTCTCTTCTGGGTTTAGGGATGTGTAAAATGTTTAGGCGTTTGCTAAAAAAAAAAAAAGGAAAAAGAAATGACGAAGACCGAGGAAAACTCTGCGTAGCACCATCATCAGGGAAGGCTCAACTATTTGCCTAACAAACATCCAAAACCTAAAGCAGGTTGCAACGAACCGCCGCACATGGAGAGCTCTGATCTTTGCCCTATGGGCCGCTCTAGGGCCAAGAGGAAAGAGTAACTAACTGTTCACTGACGCTAAAAGCACTGACATATCCACCTTGTCCTGTATCAAAAAAACTTCAATATTTAGGAGGCCTGATGTTAACCTCAGACGAACAGGGGCTATTTAGGACAGTGACACATCAGACATACAAAGTTAAACATATATGTATACACTAATCGACACAATGTGGATACAGTTGTTAACATCATGCCGGCCGGCATTACTTCCCATGACATTTCCTGGTACAAAACTTAAGACTGGGTCAATCTGGAAGCAAAGATCAGCTCTGGAAATAGATCCGCTTCCATTCGAATTCTTTTTCTTCTGCGTTCATCCGAAGATATAATTGTGTTCGTTTACAGCATGGCTGTGATATTTGCTTTTTTGGTCGATACATCCGACTTCTGCCGGCTCTCCGACTTCTCTGTTGCCCATCTTAGCCCTTCCAATTCCGATCCAAGGCCCAGTACTTTCTTGTCGGCAGGCATGCTGTGGTTATGTCATTAAATCCTCTTCGTGCTGTTTGGCATGGGACCTGTGCCATTTTTTCATAATCATTGATGGTATCAGGCCCTGCTGCTTTGGCCTCGTTTGTCACAGTTTCTTTTGAATGTTTTTGTTTTTCCAGTCTATCAGTTTCCTAAGTGCCTTTTTAATGATTCTCTATTTGCATCTCCTGAGAATGTGCTCAGTCCAGTGCCATCTTCTTTGTCGTATAACTGTTGATATCTGCGGTTGTCCAGACATTTCTCTGATTTCTCAACCCTTTTCGTGTGTGACTTCGTCCAATTTAATGGTAGCGAAGGTTACACTGATGATCATATTATTCAAGATGAATAATTTTTCTCATTTACTGGATCATTTTCACGCTAGTAAAAAAGAATATTCAAATCTGTTTGTGTGTATTTATCTGTACCATTTTGTCTGTCTATCTCTCTTTGTCCGTGTCTCTGTCTTTCTGTCTCGGTGTATGATTTCACTTATCTAATTCTGTCTGTCTGCCTGTCTGTCTGCCTGTGATTCCACATTTCTAATACTGTCTGTCTCTCTGTTTCTCTCTGTTTTCTCTATTTTTCTCTTGTCTATCTTCGTCCTTGTTTCTGACTTTTCTACCTCATCCTTTCTGTCTTTATCTGGCCATTTCTCTCTGTCCATCTCTCTCTTTGTCTCCGTCCGAGTCTCAGTCAGGCTCTCTATATGTATATTTATATTCTCTGTATCCTCCTTTCTCCTGCTTTCACTCAATTTCCCTAATCTACAGCACATTTAATCAGTTCGCTGCCATCTTTACAACGATAATTAAAGTTAATGTCGATAGGACCGACTTTATTGTACCAGATTTTATCCCGTATGATACTGTCTGCTCTGTAGAACTGCTGATTGCGTATTTATTTATCCCGTCAAAATCTCTGCGTTTGATAATGCTTTCATATCGACTGTGCTAACGCGGCTCCCGAGTAATAGTATTAGTATTATTTTTAGTATTGACTAATGGTTTCGACAGTGCTATTAAGAAAGCCGACCGTCCAGAGCAATGGCAAACTACTAGAGGTAAATTTGCCGAGAAAAAGCACACAACAGCCAGGGGCTGCTGATACAACGTCATGTAAAGGATAAGCAACTAACCTATTGACTAATACGGAGAAGCATCAGAACCTAGCTAAACAGACCTAAAACACTGTATGGATTTTGTTATTTAGATTTGTTTTTAGTCGGCTGAGTTTGTTAGGTAAATATTTTAATTCTAAGACTGATGATCGTTTGCGCTGAATTGGCTCCGACATTGAAACGAAATGCTAGAAGCAAAATAGAGCCAGTATGACCTTCACCGTAAACTGTCGGTTTTAAGGCGAAATGACTAGGCGTTTTTTTTTAAACAGTTACAGTGGGACAGCACATACTAAAGTAATATCAACGTCCATAACATCAGAAACCGACATCCTAGGACTTGGGACATTTCCATGCGCGCTCCGTCCTCATCTTCAGCAGCCAGCGATGAGTTCCAATGCCATCGAAACCAGTAAAACATTCACACAAATCGCTGTTAACAGGTTGTCCTCACACTGACTGCCACCATCCCCTCTGCGCGACACAGATAAACCCCTCGGATGAATCACCCTCTGCTAACTTTAGCTCTCCGAGATCCTAAAGAATAACAGATCACAGACTAGGAATTCCCCTTCGGCAGGCTGCAACAGTTCGGGATGAGACGGAGCAGGAATTCTAGGGAAACACACTCGGCGAAGGAGCGGGGATGTGCGGAACACTAACCGGCCATTTTGCTGAGCGCGGTTGTTGTTATATCTGCTACTGGTGCTGGAATTGTTGGTCTGTTTCTGGTTCTATTTGGATATGATCTTCAGACTACCGGTGTGGGTTTTCTGGGATTTAGACAGTAAGGAGTTTCTGTTTATCCAGGTTTGTAGTGCATTTGTCGTGCTTTATTAAATAGATCGAGTGTGGTTTCAAAAAACTATAGTGTCAATGGTGTTGAAAATATTATTTTTTTTATCATCACCATCATCAACATTATCATCATCATCGTGATTGTCGTCGTCAATGCAACATTCATCATCATTATTTTCATTAGCATTGTCATCATAATCGAGGCCGCCATCATTGTTACAATCGATACAATCATTAATGCCATCATCATCGACACAACATCCATCATGAAAACGTTATCATCACATTCGAATCATAACATCTTTATTATCATTATTATAGATGTCATAAAATCATTTTCGCCGTCGACATTATCATCATTGTCGCACTAGTCTTAGTAGCAATAATTATAATAATAATAACAACAACAGTATGGGTGCCTCTCCACAACCAGTGATAAATGTGGTAAAATGAAGTTGCCCTATGTAGAGTTTTGAATCTTGTAATTTAAGAGGTCTTCTTCTTCTTCTTCTTCTTCTTCTTCTTCTACTTCTT